CAAGAATTGAGAATTCTACCATTTCATGGTTGCTAAGCCCAAGACGGCCTCCGACCACCACATCTCCCATCAGTCCTTCTCTGTTTGTAAACACCTTCACCAAACGCATTTGGTTCCAATTTCTAGATCCAATCAATACACCTCATCTGAGAGTGTATGAGTAAGTCTGAAGAAGCCGTCCAGCTGCTCCAAAACAATGCAGCCACACAGAAGAACTGAGGAGAGAACATGCCTAATACCGCCTTGGTATTAGAAGGATCTGCAAGCAAAAAAAAAGTTGTAACTGCTGCCTTGAGAGGGGAAAACATTCTAACAAAGAGTTGACTTATTGGGAAAAGAAGTGATGGAGGACGAAGAGTGATTTAGAGAAATAAGAAAGAAAAAAAGGAGGACACATGCCCCCTAAGTTACTACCTTAAAAAGCTGAAATTGAAATGTCTCACTTCTGCCCTCAGAAAATGCAAATCATCTCACAACTCACAAAACGCACCTTATACCTATTTTTGCAAGGCCCGTATAGAAGATGTTGGTTTAAGAGTTCAGCATTCTCTCAGCTCAGTTGCAGAGATCTGTGTGATGAATCCAGCCCTGCCCCCCCAAAACGGGACTCACTTTTATTTGAATAAAAGTAACGGAGAAGGTAGTGGGGTGTAGAGGGGAGGAAGAGAAAAATGTTTTAAAACACTAAGGTCTACAGTTCAAACGTTAAAAATGCCATTTAAGATTATTCTTTCCTTTTTCCTTTTATTATCTGGAAATGAATAGAGTTTCACTTCATAATGATTTTGCAGAACCAAACTGGTGCAATGTTCATCCTCCAAAACCTGCTAGGGACAGATGCCTATCCCTCAAAACCTGCTAGGGCCACTCCCTTCGTAACAGGACACTCTCCCACAACGCTGAACAGCAGAGAGCAAGGCACTGCATTCATCAAACAAAATATTAAGTAATTGGTCCTTAAGCAATTACTACCTACCCTGTACACTAAACAGGACAGAAAAGGCACTGGAAAAGAGAGACTTTCAAAACATAGCATCGGGCTATTATAAAACATCTGTGCTAAGCAGAAAAATAAGGATGGAAAAGTCGCCACTCAGTGAGGAGACAATTTTAGTGTTCCCTGACTGAAGTACTTGACTTTAAAACTTCACTGTTGTAAAAAAAATCAGCTTTTTTCTGCAATGGATGAATATGTGATATTATCAAATTACAAAAGAATTACTCTAAAAAAAACAAGAAAATTGATCACAAGCTTGCTGTTCTTGCCACCACACAGTCAGAAACAGGAGAGAGTATTTTCATTTTACACACCAATCTCCTAAATCACGGTATACCTTCCTGCATGAAATCCAGTTAACTGCAAGGTAACACAAGATGCTATAATTCCAATGGGAAAAGCTAAATCAAAATAAAGCAAAGCACTTTTGAAAATAGTAGATATTTAAGAACAGCTCCACCACACAAGCTCCTTGTCTTGCATAGCCTTCCCTGAGTTACAAGCCCCGTTCAACTGTTTAAGGGAAGGCCAAAAACAGGAGTGAATGTAATGAAAACTGAGCACCCAAATCTGACAGATAGCGTGAGAAAGACGTTACAAGTAATGAGCTAGAAGCATGATTTTTTTAATATCGAAACAATGCTGCATTAATGAGTCTCTGCAAAGACTCTGCTTATGCAAAAAGTTACACTAGTTTCAGGCAGCAAGTTTAAACACTATAAATACGATAGATAATAACTTTATATGATTATTTAAAGTGGTATCAAAAAGACTTTTCCTAATTTAGACTCATAGAATCATAGAGTAGTTTGGGTTGGAAGGGACCTCTAAAGGTCATCTAGTCCAACCCCTCTGCCCTGGGCAGGGACATCTTCAACTAGATCAGGTTGCTCAGAGCCCCGGCCAACCTGACCTGGAATGTTTCCAGGGATGGGGCATCCACCACCTCTCTGGGCAACCTGTGCCAGTGTTTCACCACCCTCAGTGTAAAAAATTTCTTCCTTAGATCTAGTCTAAACCTACCCCCTGTTAGTTTAAAGCCATTCCCCCTTGTCCTGTCGCAACAGGCCCTGCTAAAAAGTTTGTCCCCATCTTTTTTTAGAAGCCCCCTTGAAGTACTGATAGGCTGCAATAAGGTCTGCCCGAAGCCTTCTCTTCTCTAGGCTGAACAACCCCAACTCTCTCAGCCTT